AGGGTCCCTGTTTAGGCCCCCAATATAGTACGGCACCCTGATAAAAAGGACCCTGAGAGGGACCCTAAATTAGAGAAGTACCCACTTGAGACCGTGGCAAATCGCAACACTCACAGAGCAAACGGACATTACAAGCAATTACAAGTTCTATCTGTACCTAAATCGTAAACCGCTACACCCACGCAAACCCCTAAACCCTAAACTTTACGTATGCACTTGCTAGGTTAAGGTTTTGGGCTCAAGTTTCCAATTCGCGTCAGCCGACTGACAACAGTGGTGGAAACAAGTTCGGGTTTCGAGGTTTAGGGTTTAGGGGTTTAGGGGTTTAGGGTTTAAGGGGTTTAGGGGTTTCAGGGAAAAGGCATCAAGCCCGACAATGGTCAAAACGACAGCACAAGCAGAGCATTGCTGACGCGCGCTTGCCTCTGACTAAGTCTATAAGCCAAGATCCAAGAACCCAAACCCTACCTACCCTATCCTGATCCCCCTCAACCCTCGAAAGTCTCCATTGTAGTTCCTTTTTGGGGATACCGTTAAAAATCCTGAATAGAAAACTGGTTAAACCAGAAAAAGGAACTACAGTGGAGACTATAGGTAAGCCCTGAAGCTCTAGACCCTAAACCCTAAACCCTAAAACCCTAATCCCTAATCCCGAGACCCTAAACCCTAAACCCTAAAGCCCTAAACCCTAAACCCTAAACCCTAAAGCCCTAAACCCTAAACCTGCAAACCCTGAGCCCTCAGAGAAGCGGAATGCACCGCAAGTCCTTCTCCTGCTCGGCCAACTTCAGGCGCGCAGCATCCAACCTCGGCTCCAAGACGGTTTAAGGCTCACCTACGGGGTTTAGAGTTTAGGGTTTAGGGTTTAGGGTTTAGGGGTTCAGGGTTTAGGGGTTAGGGGTTTAGGGGCTTAGGGGTTTAGGTGGGTTGCACAGGGTTTTCAGGTTTCAGGCTTACCTATAGTCTCCATTGTAGTTCCTTTTTCTGGTTTAACCAGTTCTCTATTGAGTAATTGAAGTTTGGCTTAGGATTTCGTGCCGGAGGGTGTTACTTATAGTCTCCATTGTAGTTCCTTTTTTGTTGGTTTAACCAGTTTTCTATTAAGGATTTGAAAAGGTATCCCCAAAAAGGAACTACAATGGAGACAACAGGTAGGGTTCAGGGTTTAGGGTTTCGGGTGGAGGGTAGAGCCCTGAGAGTAAGCCTGGCACAGTGACCCTTACCCTGGGGCTCCAAATAGCCCAAAGGAGGTATTATCTATAGACTTTAGACCCCAAAGTAGGTGATTTGTATACTTGGACCCCAAACCCTAAACCCTAAACCCTAAACCCCGGGGTTATGGAACCCAGGTCAAAACCGCTGTAGAGCCCGTACCATAGCGCGGGTTGCAGCTTGGGAGTCTGGAGTTCAGGCTTCCTGCGTCGCCTGCAGCTGATAGATGATTCGTTTAGGGTTTAGGGTTTAAGGTTTAGAGTTTAGGGTTTATCTATAGGGTTTAGGGTTGAGGGTTTAAGGTTTAGAGTTTAGGGTTTATCTATAGGGTTCAGGGTTTAGGGTTTAAGGTTTAGGGTTTGGGGCCGGATGTGGCCTATGAAGGCCACATCGGCATGGGTGTTTTCGGGAAGTCCTGGCAGACTCTAATTCCGAAGCCCGAAACTCATCAAACACAACGGCTTCTACGTTGGATCTGAGACGTCACATTGAGCTCTGCAGGAGTAGTCCTGAGATTCGAGCTCCTTCGCCTGAGAAGGAGGAACTGTAAGAGGGCTTAGAAGGGCCGGCCGATGAGCTGCTACTTGGAGGTTCATGGGTAGATATAAGTGGGGCTTATAAGTAGGATAACTATAGTCATAACCCATATTAGGTGACTTATATACTCCAATTATAAATACCCATGAACCTCCAAGTGCCGACGTCCGAAATAGTTGGACAAGGGCTTAGAACGCACATGTTATACCGTTACGGGGCTTGAGAGAAGGAAGGCTTGAGTAATATAGATCATATATATATATATATATGTATATACATACATATACAGGGCCCAATAATTGGGATAGGGTTTTTGGGGTACATCATAGTAGGTCAATATTATAAATTAATGAATCTGAATTACGTAGCCAGCCAGACTTCGATGCCACTTGGTCAATACTGTCGAGTATCCTGCGCCTCGAGTAGGCTTAGAGTTGCATCAAGCATCAGGAACCCTGCAGTGGGGAGGGCAAACATCTGACTGAGTGGCCCGACCCCCGACGCAGACTCTTGCAACACTTCAGCAGGGATGGCAGCAATGAAAGCCGTCAGTCAGGAGCCCACGCTAGGCGCAAATCATCAGAGAAAATCAACAACAACGTAACAACATCTTGCTCCATCACGAAGAGATGCTTGCAGTCCCCCGAAAGGCCCAAATACTATACAATATGCACTTGTAATTTGCAGCCCCGGCTGAACAAACAGTTCAGGTCTATTCAGGATCTTCAATGGAACCCTAAACCCTAAACCAGAAGGCATTCATTGGAGATGCTTCAATCCCCAAGCGCAAACCCTTAAACTCAACGCTAAAAGCCCATAACAGTACTCTAAACACAAAGCCCTCAACCATTGTAACTAAGCCGCAAACCCTTAAACCCTACACCCAAAGCCCTTATAAAACCCTAATCCCTGTGGGATTCAAAAGCAAGAAACATGCGAATCCCTGGCCTTCTTTGGTCTCCGCGGCGTCCCGTCCTCCTCGCCCTGTTTTAGGGTGGCGGGCTTTCTAAGCCTGAGGCTGCTAGAGTTTAAGAGCTGTTCAAAAGCCTCCGCCCAAAAAAATCCTGGAACTACAATGGAGACTATAGGTAGGATCCATCCAAAGAAGCCAGACGAAGACCTAGGGTTTTTTAACCAGGTTCCTATACCTTAAACCCCAAACCCTAAACTCTAAACCCTATATTAGGATGGCTTGGAGTTAACGCGTTTCGGCGCTTGTTGGGTTTACGATGCCTCTGGTCTGTTCGTTGCATACTTTGAGTAGGCGGTTGAGTATAGATCCTCCACAACGGCGTACATTGCGCTCTGGACGTTGACGTTTAGAGAGTTTTCTTGTATCATTTATGGGGCAGGCTCCTTGATCGGTTTCTGCAGGCTTCCGGTAATGATGTAAGGGCCTAAATATTCTATATACTGTTTTGGGCGGCTCCTTATCATAATTATAATATAATGGGCCCCAACACCCTGCTCTAATGATTAAGGCCCCTATATTAAGCTGAACCTTGAAGCCAGGATTGGGGATGTGTGGTAACTCTTCATGATCTCCCTAGAGAGTGACTCTTAATTAAACCCGGATGTAAAACTGCAAACATCCCAAATCTCGTAACCCGAAAGCCATAAGAATCACTCTACTTAAACACCCACAGCCAACGGCAACATCTTCGGCTGCACAGGTAACGCATCCAACTGGAGAATCTCGCGTCTGAGAGAAAAACTTTGCATTACAGAAGATCTTGCTATAGACAAGCTTGTACCGTCAGACCCCTTAAAGGAGCCCTACAGATCCCCTTACAGGAACCCGAAAACCATCCCCTCTGACCATCTCCCGAGAAAGCAACATAACCTCAGACCGCAACAAAACCTACCTACACTTCTCCGCTGCCTTGGTCTTTTCACTGCAGAATCCAAACCATATAATTAACTCAGATAACTAGTTAACCAGAGAAGGATCTACAAGGAGTAGAGCCTGAATCCCGATTTTTCTAACCTTTCTAGTAGCCTTCATAGCGCTTATGTAGCCTTTCAAGAGCTCTTTGAATGACCTTTTAACCCTAAACCCTAAACCCTAAACCCAAGCCGTCTCGAACTCTGAAAGACTGAAACGTCTAATCTCAGGCTGCCCCGTCCTCCGAGTGAATTTCAAAAAACTGCGGCCGGGGAGGGAGCCTGATCCGAGGGAATGAACTGAGGGGGTTTAGGGTTTATGGTTTGGGGTTTAGGGTTTAGGGGTTTAGGGGTTTAGGTTATGGGTTGCACACAAGTTTCATGAGAGTTTTATATGGGTTTCTCTACTCAGCTACGTAGGGCTTCGGGGGAAAAAGGTCGAGGGGGCATCTCGGGATCTGGTCATTGCTCTGGGGCCTTGAAAAATGCAGTTGTTTGACTGTGTCTTGCTTTGTTGAAGGGGGCTTAGAGCCTTGGAGGTTTGGGGGTTTGGGGGATTTTTAGTCCAGGGCAAGGGGGTCCATCCTAAAGCCCAAACCCTTTTGGGGCTTGTAGGGTTACTCTAACTTGACACGGGAAGCAAACAACAGCTCCCCCAGACACAACTAACTTTCCCAACGAAGAGCTCCCGTTCGTGACGACAGAAGCTTTGCAAGACTGTTGTGTTTTCTTTCACAGTTACATTCAGACCAGGGATTTGGGAGACTTTCAAACTGTATAATATCAAGAGCTTCTAAGTTAACTTAAACGCATGGTTCAATAGGCAGATATGGCTTTGGGTCTGTTGCTACCGAAACATCAAGAAGCATTGTAGCTACAGCAGCTGGCCCATGGTACAGGCTCCCTAAACCCCACTAAACCCGAAACTTTCGCGGCATAGGATGGGGGCCCTAGAAATCGCGCTTCCAAAGCTTAGTTTAGGCACTAGGACCACTAGGACCAGGATTTCTGAGGGAGGGAGGGGAGCGGGGGTGGGGGCTCACGTAGAACCCTGATTAATAGCAACGACCCTAAACCCTAAACCCTGAACCCTAAACCGCTAAACCCTAAACCCTAAACCGCGGGTTTAGGGTTTAGTTTGAAGGGTTTAGGGTTTAAGGTTTAGTTTTTAGGGTTTAGGGTTTAGGGTTTATTAGGGGCGCCGAGGTAGTGAGGCGAATCTCTATTGAAGCGCCGGCAGGGCGAGCCGCAAGGTTGCTGCAATTGCCATCAGCAGTGTTATTGTCACGGATCGAACTGTGACTACTATCGTCTTGGCATCAACCCGAAACTCCAACCAGGGGCCTTAATAGGGTTTTGGAGCCGTTTGAAAAGGAACCCCCAAAAATAGTATAGCTACTTATGACGGCCACAATATTACTTGTTTCCAAGTCTGCCTTGACTGGAATACCCGGACAGATTGCCCATCCCGGCCGGCGCTGACCCTGTTAATGGTGGCTTTAGGGTTTAGGGTTTACGGTTTAGGGCTTAGGGTTGAAAACCCTCAGCGTCATCCTAAGCGCAGGGGTTTTTGCTTTCTTAACTTACGCATCGACGATCCACCCGACCGTCAACCTTGAACCACTGTACACTGCTATCCTGTAGCATGCCTATCGGACTCCATGCTAGGATTTAAATTTACCACCTTCCACAACCAGGCACTCATGGTTTCCCGCTAAGAATACCATCTCTATATGTATACATATATATACACACACACGCATGCATGCATACATACACATTAATATATACATAAAAGTAGTATTAGTAATATATATATATATATATATATATTTATCTATTCATTTTTAAATCTATATTAATATCATTTGCATATTACACATTAAAATTGCTCTATCGTATTGATAGTACTATCAGTATGGATTATACGAATGTGATGTGTACATGTGTAGACATGCAGATAATATGACCAAACCCACGAACTACATTAACCCGAAGTATTCGGCTCGTCCTAGTCGACCCTAAACCCTAAACCCTAAACCCTAAACCCTAAACCCTAAACCGGCGCAGAGGGAAGCACCTGTTCGGCTCCTTCGGCGCCTCCTGGGACCCAAAGATCTCTGTCTCGGGCTCATACTTCTTTTTAAGTGCAGGCTTTAGGGGCTTGGGGGTTTAAGGGCTTAGGGCCGTTTAGGGGTTTAGGGTTTTGAAGGGATGAGGCTTCAAGGGTTTCGTTTTGTTTAAGATTTGGGGTTTCGTTGGGGCCTAGTTGGCTTCATGGCTCCCCTATGCCCTTCTGCTGCTGGAAAGTCCGGACGTTAATTACACTTGCATTTCGCAGGCGTGCATTGTGCCCCTGGCCTGGCATAGTGCAATGCCTATAATGTATCGGCCTGATGCGTTAGACTGGGCTGTTGGGGTTTCTGCGCTACGAACCCAAGCCCATGCCACTAGGGAACCCCCCCGAAATAATACTTCGAATTATTCCAACCTTTGCACATCGACAATACGGGCCTTAATGAACAGACTAGGGTATGAGGCACATTATGCTACCTCTGCGTTAGAGACTGTATGGGTATACCCAGTTATTTTGACCCCGATACCCTAAACCCTAAACCCCTACATCATAGACGCACTCCAAGCGCTCTCCAGACCAGTTGCTGTTTGCGGCACCCTCTTACTAAACCGCTGAACCCTGAACCCTTGAACCCTAAACCTCCAAACCCTATATAAATAGTTGTCATAATTTTGGCCCCTTTTGGGGTACCCTAAATAATAGGTGCCGTATTATAAGGACCCATTAAAGGGACCATAATTTTGACAACCACCCGTATTATACCCCGAGTCCACAGTTCTTGGGGCGAACGCGAGCGACAGGAGCAGGAAGTGCCGTCACTTGAAGGGGTGGGCCGACTCGACTCATATAGGGGCCTTGATATGTAGAATAGGGTTCCTTTAAGGGTTCCCTTTAAAGGGGTCTATACGGGTTGATATAAGGGCTACTGCAAGAGCTCAAGTTTAGGGGCCTCAGTGTTGAGCCTAGGGTTCGGGTGTAGTATGTGCTATAAAAGGCAATCGAGCGGCCTTACTGGCTAGAATAGGGTTTTGGGGTCCATATTGTACTATTCTTGTATTCAGAAACCTCAAGGCAGGATTGCGAACTGTTTAAAGAATTTAAGCCCCTATAGTATACAACTCCAGCGGAATGAAAGCCTAAAGCCTAAGCCCGAAGCCCCCAGATCACCCAGCCCTAAGCCCAAGTAAAGCAACCCAAACCACCCAATTGGAAACCTCCCAAGCCCGTCCTACCTGGCCCCTTGATAGAACCCGAAAGAAGCCCTCAAAGGAGACCCTAAAGACAGCAGGTGCCACCTCAACTCTCTTGGCGGGGTATGTGAGCCAGCGGACCAAACTGCCAAGCTTCGTGCACATGCGCTCAAGACTCTCACAACCCTAAACTTTGGGCTTTGGAATAAAGTTTGAGGGTTTAGAGTTTAGGACGTAGGGCTCCCGCATCTTGAATCCTAAACTCCAAAGCTAAAGCTCTAAACCATAGCCCTCAAACAGTATTGACGATACATCTGCTATTGCTTCTGTCAGAACTAATGCCCAGTCGTTGTTGAATGCAAACCATGAACACCACGCTGGAAACGATTCTAAGCTAAACCCCAAAAGCCTCAGTCCGGTGCAGCCAACACTAAACTCACGAGGACCCTTAGGGGGGTGGGGAGGGGGGGAAGGGGGCCTTAATATCGGTAATAGGGACCCAATAATGCTTTTTTAAGGAAGTATAGTCCCCTACCCCCCTAAAGAAAGGTCGCTATGATAAACCGCATGAAACCAAAACCTCAACAGCCTACAGCCTAATGTGGGGGCCTTAACAATTAGACTAGGGTTTTGGGGGCCATTATACTCTCACCCTAAGTAGGAACCCCCAAAACAGTATAGGTAACTATTAAGCTATATTACATTGATCCTGTTTGGCTCGAAAAAGGGGGAGAGTGAAGATTCAAAGTTTTCTCGGTTTGGGGGTTTAAGGTTCTGGAGTTTAGGGGAACGTCCATTCCGCTTTTGAACTCAAGGACTCTAGGACGTAGTAGTGCGACAATCATACTCACACAGCATTATGCCAAGACTGAAACAGCAAACACAGCATGGCAAGCTCTAGCACTCTTCAGTCCTCTACTCTTGCACACCCTAAGGCCCTAAGGTACAAATACGGTTGATGATATACATCCTGCATTACCCATAAATAAGGAATGTACCGTACTTTCCATGGCTTAGGGTTTTTAAGGTAATGCAGGATTTATATCATCTACATCCAAACCCGAGCGCGCGTAGTCAGGGCCTCACTAAATACTGAACCACACAACATGGAAAGGTCATCGAATAGTGATGCAAGTAAATATAGATGATACAGTAAAGCCTAGTGATAACTTCCTAGCAATGAGTGACACAGAAGTACGGTTGTATTGATAAGTAGTAACATTAATTGGCAGATCTCTCCGATATAAAGTTGTCGGACCATCCAGTCTTCGCATGCTCTCACCAGGCTTGAATGTCGTGTTTTTGTTTAAGGTTTAGGGGTTTTGGGGTTTAGTGCTGTTTTGCTTTTTCTTAATAGGATGCTTAATATCACATAGAAGGCCGGACACCGCAAGTCTCGATCAATCTCACCGGGGTTTAGTTTTTTTTTTTTTTTACGGGCCCTTTTCCAAACTGCAGAACAGGTTAGAATTCATTACCAGGAGTTTAGGGTTTAGGGTTCAGGGAAAACAGTGAATTTACTCTCTGGTAGAAACCCTCAATCATCGAAACCCGAAGCCCCGCTAGCCAAACACCCGCCCTGAGTAAAAAGACACACACCAACAAGCTACTGTAGGGGCCTTAGTAATTAGAATCGGGTTTGGGGGCCCATTCTACTATAATGACAATAAGGGTTTAGGTTTAGGGTTTAGGGCCAAACTACTATAGTACTATAGCCTCGATTGTAGTTCCTTTTTGGGGATACCTTATGAAATCCTTAATAGAAACTTGGCTAAACCAAAAAAAGGAACTACCATGGAGACTATAGGTAGGTAATTATTGAGGCCCCTTTCTGTAGGGGTCTTCATAATTACCTTAAATATTTTGGGGGGTTCCTTATTATGATTATAGTATAATATACCCCAAAGCCCTATTCTAATTATTAAGTCCCCTAAATTATACCCTTACGGAACCCTTACAATAACCCTTATTATAGTAACCCTTAAAGGCATCCTATTCTAATTATTCAGGCCCCAACATTATTAACATTCGACAACGTGCTGCATCCTGGCCTCCAAGACATCTTCACGGCCACGGCGATGTCTGCAAGGGCCTCACTCCAGGTGCATTCCATAATTTAGGGATAGAATAGGGTTTGGGGGTGTATTATATTGCCATTATCATGCTACGGAACCACCAAAACCCTATTCTGGTTATTAAGCCCTAAAGCCAAACAGACCCGATAACCAATGGTTAGACCTCGAAACCGATTGCTTCGCGCAACTCTGTTCCGGATCGACAGAACACTACAGCTTACTATCTCATGTTCCTCTAATGTCTGACTACAAAGCTAAGAAGCAACACAAAGAGATATGGTGCATGCCCTATTTCGGGGTTATGGGGGTTTTGCAAATCGACAGTATGAGCAATATGGGCCTCGAGCCCTGAAGCCCTAAACCCCGAACCTCCCAAACCCTTGAAACGACAGGCACCCTAAATACCCTTGCACGACCCTTATGAACCGAAAGCCCTAGGCCTTAAACCCTAAACCCTAAAACGAACCCTATGAGCCCCAACAGGGCTCGAATCAAACCATGAGAGCTAGGCCAGCAGGACCAGTAGAGCAGCACCGGCCGTTGCTGAAAGAGGGCCCTGGGCGACGGGAAGAAGGGTTCGTTTAGGGCTCTGGGGTTCGGGTTTAGGGTTTAGGTTCGTTCAGGGCTTTGGGGTGTGGGTTTAGGGTGTATATAGGGGGTTCCTAGAGAGAAAGGCTTCCAGGGCGCATTTTAGAGGGGCTTTTAGGGTTTCGACTGGGCTTCTATACGTTCTCATTGGAACTTGGAAAAGTTTCCTTCGGGTTTCTATTGGACTTTGTAGATAGGGTTTCTAAAGGACTCTATAGGACTTCTGCAGGGTTTCGGTACTGTATATTGTTCCTGGTGGAGGTATGTTCCATTAGGAGTTGTTGCAGAGATGCCGCAAACAGGATAATCTTTAGTACTCCTGTTCCGCAGATTCTACAAAGAGTCTACCATTGAGTACGGCCCGCTCGAACCCGAACACTGCTTCCTTCACGACCTTGTTCTAGTATAGCGGCCTAATTATTCACAACCTACATTTGTTTTTATTTATTTTTTATCTTTTTTTTTTTTTTTTT